AAAAGAAAAGAAAAGAAAAGAAAAGAAAAGAAAAGAAAAGAAAAGAAAAGAAAAGAAAAGAAAAGAAAAGAAAAGAAAAGAAACAACAATAAAACCAAGTCAGTTGGGGGTTAGCTGCCCTCACTGCTGAAGGGGTTCTGCCGGGCCTGTCAGGCTATTGTGCTCTTCTGAGCTGGGCCCGCAGGGTCCTTATGGACCAAATGTATTATTTCACTTTTAACAGTTAATTCATTTTGTAAATATGAGGACCAGTTTCACAGCACACGTTTCATCTCTCTAGGCCCACACCGACATCCACACGGGAGCAGAGCGACTTCCTCTGTCTTTTGGATGCCCCCACTCCACCTCGGGCAACCGTCAGCCAGCCGCTTAGCCAAGAGTAAGAGCTTAATTCATCAAACATCTTCACTGAGTGTCTTCAGGGAGAGCTGTCTGCCGAGCCAGGAATCCTGGCCCTGTCACTTTCTCAGTGAGCACTGGGGAATGTCCCGCCTCACGGGGAGAGAGAGAAAGAGAGAGAGAGAGAGAGAGAGAGAGAGAGAGAGAGAGACCATCTTTCCTGACTTCACTCCACAGGGTTCTCCTGAATGAACTCAGCCTGGTGAATGAACTCAGGCAAGTGTGACAGAGATGCAAATTACAGTTACTAGCCTGACCCCAGCTTCCCACTCTCCCGTTCGACTTGAACCCACTAAAACCCCACTCCCAGTCATAAAGCCTAATCTTCGGTATGTTTCTGCTAGAGTTTTCAATACCTCCCAGATTTATAGCAATGGCTTCTGACCATCAGTTGAGAACACTTGCATTTTATATGTATTTTTATTTACAAATAATTTCATAAGTTCCTGTTTCTCTACACACACATGTACATAGGACAAAGCATTTACACGTGTAGCAAAATGCTCACCTAGTATGTGCAAGGCCTTGGATTCAATCTTTAACACTACACAAAAATTACATTTTTTTTTCTCCTTTGAAGGACATGGCAAACAAATGGCAAAAAAACGTTAAAACAGTTTAATTAATTAATTTACTATTTACATATTTATTTCAAGACCAGGTCTCCCTGCAACCCTGGCTGTCCTGGAACTCAAATTTATAGGCCAGGCTGGCCTCAGACTGATAATGATTCTTCTGCCTCAGTTTCTCAAGTTTTTAGATTGTAAATACCTGGTGACACCGCCCCCCCCCCCCAGTTTTAATTTCACGTTTAATGCAATTTTGTTCTTACATAATTATATCACGAAGACTCCTCAGGCTTACTTTAAAGATGGTGGTGGCAATGGCTTACTATTCGCAGTGCTAAGACACTCAAGGCCCATGTGCTTGGATAAGGCTTACTGCTAGCAGCCACGGCTACCAGTCTTCGCTTCTGTATTTTTCTCAATAATCTCAGGTTTGCAGGAATGGGGAAAGTGCCCCTTTCGTCCTTTCTCTCTTGTTGGACTTATTTGTATCATCAATCTTATCCTGAGTTCACAATATCCTGTGCAGAAGAAGTAAGTTAGAGCCCTTCACGCTTTTACGTAGCTTTAACACTCTTGCGAACAGCAGTCCCTCTCCGCTGTTTTTTTTTTTTTTCATGCTCTCAACCGCCCCATCTGAAAATCTGTTGTCAGTACTGCAGAACATGCCATGGCCCTCACTTCTTTCCCTGTCGCCGACTGCCCCGCCTCGGCCAGGTCATGTGGTATCTCGCAGCAAAGGCACCCCAAGTAGTCTCCTTGTCTGTCTGTCCCACAGACTCTTCCCTCTGGAACAATCTGAAACTGTCCAAGCAGATCCCTTCTGATTCCCAACGCCTAGAGTGACCGCTCATCTCACTCAATAAAATCCAAAGGGCTTGCAATGGCCTGTCCAGCCTCCTCCCCTCCCCCACTCCAGGCCTTCCTTAGCTCTCCTCTCCTCCCACTCTCACGCCCTTGCTGTGGCCCACAATGGCCTCTTAGCTG